TAATGAGGACTTTAAAAGGTTTAGACAGTTATAAAATCTCACAATTTGAGCATTTAAAGAAGTTGTGATTATACATATAAAAGTAGCAGAGTTTTGACTCTTAAGTCTGTGTTTTTTCTGTGCTTTTTCTGTCCCTTTACTCCTGGATGAACAGACACAAACAGGTAAACTCTTCAGTCATTGTTATTGCCAGACAGGTTAAACGTTGGGGGCTTCATGTCTTATGTTGAGGAATCTGGGTAATACTTCAGTATAAGGGTCATTATAACACACTTGTAATGCTCTTATTAAACCAGGAGCTGCAGTTTAACTGGCTGCTTATTACTACTTTATTAAACAATAACGAAATGAAACTGAACATTTTCCAGAGCACTGTTGTTTGAACAGACCCCATTTCTGGAAAAGTAAAATGAATAAACCAAAAATTATTTTATGTTTTATGTTTTAAGTCTATCCCTTATTTCTCTGTTTGGATGCTGACAAAATGGCAGCCGCCACTGAACGGGAGCTCCGGACACTGAACAGGGAGCTGCTGCAGTTGGATCAGCAGATCAGGGCTCTCCTAAAGCGGCAGACCGAGCTCCATGAGTGGAAAACCCGTTTGGAAGCAACCTGGGACGCGTCCTACACGGCTGTTTCAAGACCAAGCCCGGTGGCGACTTCTACTCCACCGGATGGATCACTACTACCACGTTTAACACCAGGATTGCCTGCTTTCACGCCCGTGCCGGAGCAGGGCTGGGAACACCAGCATGGCCGGGGAAAGAGAAGGTTTTCACCAATTCCTCCTCCGCCGAGTTTCACCTCCAGTAACCGGTTCGAAGCCCTCAGCTCATCACCTGTTTCAGTGCCTCGGAGAGAGAGTCAGGAGAGTGTTATTATAATTGGAGATTCAATAGTGAGACATCTTAAAGTAACTTGCTCTGGGAGTAATTCGGCTGTCTGTTGTTTTCCAGGTGCCCGGGTCTTGGATATTTCCAAGCGGCTCTGAGCAAACATGGGGACGTCGGCACTGTAGTAATTCATGCAGGGGTGAATGACATCTCATCCCGTCAGAGCGAAGTCCTCAAGAAGCATTTCAGATTACTTCTAGACAACGTTAAGTAAAGAACCAAAGCCAGGGTCGTCATCTCGGGTCCGCTGCCCACCTACCGGAGGGGAAGTGAGGTGTTCAGCAGGCTCTACGCGCTGCATTGCTGGCTCCAAGGCTGATGTAAGAACAATGGCGTTGGCTACGTGAGCAACTGGAGTGTTTTCTGGGAGCAATTGGCATTCTACCGCAGGGACGGACTACACCCGAGCCGCCGCGGGTCTGCTATCTTATCGAGAAAGTGCTACACCAGGCCTGACTGGACTTAAATGTAGTTGGCAACGGATGGGTAAGTAGAATCATCAGCAGACAGGTAAGTGCCTTTAATGATATAGACAATTTCCCCCTAACTGCTACCATTCCTCTCTGTTTCTGCTGTCTCAACACTAAAGCTAGTTGTGTAGGGAGATTTTGCTCCAAAAACATCATTAGAGTCATCAAACCCCGTGTAATTAAAAAATCAAAGAAAAACGTGCACGATCATAACCCTGATAATTTGTGTAGACCTTAAAAAGACCAGTCCCCCCCAAACACATAGTGTAACTAGCAGAGAATTAAACCTTGCTCTACTCAATGTAAGGCCACTAAATAACAAAACACTGCTGATTCGAGATCTTATCAAGGAGCATAAGCTAGATTTTATATTTCTGTCGGAAACGTGGCTCAGTTTTAATGGCACAGCGACTTTACTTGAAGCTGCTCCTGAAAAGTAAATTTTTATGCGTACAGTAAGACAGGGCAGATGAGGAGGAGGAGTGGCCTGCATTTATAATAGTGACTTTATCTGCAAAAGTACCTCTAGTGGCGAATTCATGTCTTTTGAGTATGTTGCCATCAACCTTTTTAATGATACACCTGTGTTAATAATTGTAATATACAGACCTCCAAAGCAAAATAGTAAAATTTTGTCCGAAATTGCGGAATTATTTTCAGTAGCATCCACAAACTATGATAAGATTCTTCTGTCTGGGGACTTTAACTTACATATTGATAGTCCTTCAGATAGTAATGCATTAGAATTCATTAGACTTCTAGAGACATTTGATTTGAAGCAGCACGTGGGCAGCTCTACCCACAAGCTAGGTCACATCCTGGATCTGGTCATCACTAAAGGTTTAAACACAAAGGTGTCCAAAATCTCGGATGTTTTCTTATCAGATCACTTCTGTATTTTCTCTCAAATCAATTTAGAAGTAAAGAAGAAAGTACTTGAAATTTACTTTAAAACACATTACATTGACTCAGAAACAGTTGAAAAGTTTAAACTGTTTATAATAGTTCAGCGAATACAGATACGACTCCATCCTGTAATGATCTAGTCTCTGATCTAAGTGCTAGATTACAGGAAAGCCTTGACCTTCTCGCCCCAATAAAAAGGAAGAAAAGCTTACGCACTCTTAAAAATCCATGGATGAATGCAGAAATACGCCAGTTTAAGATAAATTGTCGTAAATCAGAGCGTTTATGGAGGAAAACTAAACTGCAGGTACACTATGATATTCCCAAAGAGCAGATCTCAGTCTATAATAATGCTATGGAAATATCCAGACAGTCATATCTCTCTAGTGTAATCAGTAGACACAAAAATAATACCAAAATCCTTTTTTCCACCAGAGACCGACTAATTAACCCTAACTTCTCTGCTAGTGTGTTTAATGATGATTTATCTTCTAATATCTGTGAAGAGTTCGCAATTTATTTCCAAAATAAAATAGACCTGATACGACAGGGTGTAGCTCAGCAGACGCAAACAAGCTACTATAATGTTCCTGATAGGTCACCTACATCAGTAATGATATCTTTCTCTGTTATCAACTATCAGGAGCTACAACTATTTTTAACAAACTAAGTTCATCCACATGTGATCTTGACCCTGTTCCTACTTCATTCCTTAACATGGTTTTTGATTGTGTTCACAATGATGTTTTAACTATTGTAAACTGTTCTCTGCCAACAGGTGTTTTTCCAGATGATTTCAAAACTGCCCTGGTGAAGCCTCTGCTAAAAAAGAGTAGCATGGATCCTTCTGTACTAAATAATTTTAGACCGATTTCAAACCTACCTTTTCTAAGTAAAGTCTTAGAAAAAGTTGCTTTCAAACAACTAACTACGTATCTAATATCAAACAATTTATATGAGAAGTTTCAGTCAGGTTTTTGTTCTAACCATAGTACAGAGACAGCATTGATTTGCGTTATGAATGACCTCAGGCTCAGCACTGATGCACAAAATCCTTATATTTTGGTTTTATTAGATCTTAGTGCAGCTTTTGATACCATTGACCACAAGATTTTACTCCAGCGTCTTGAATACTGGGTCGGCCTCTCAGGCACAGTTTTAGAATGGTTTAAATCATATTTAAGTAATAGGCAGTTCATGGTTTCACTTGGAAATCATTCATCAAAACGATTTGCCGCTTCTTGCGGAGTCCCCCAAGGTTCAGTCTTAGGGCCTTTGCTTTTCTCTTTGTACATATTACCCCTAGGTGATGTTATTTGGAAACATAAAAGAAATTTTCATAGCTATGATGACGACACCCAGTTATACATTTCTATTCCTTCTGAAGATCAAGACTCTGTAGACAGACTGACCAGCTGTGTGTCAGATATTTTTCAGTGGATGTCGCAAAATTTTCTACAATTAAATCATGAAAAAACTGAATTACTAAATTTTGGTACGGAAACTCAGAGAAAAATGATTTTTGAGAAACTTCATCTACCAAACCTGAAGTACGAAACCTTTGTGTGATCTTAGACTCTGAGCTCTGTTTTACCCCACATGTAAACAGTCACTAAAGTAGCTTTTTATCATTTAAGAAATATCGCTAAAGTTCTGACTTTTCTATCTCAGAGCGACGCAGAGAAACTTGTTCATGCATTTGTTACAAGCAGACTTGACTACTGTAATGCTGTTCTTGCTGGACTTCCTAAGAAAACTACACATGCCTTACAACTTGTACAAAATGCAGCAGCATCCTAACAAAAACAACACAGAGAGATCAGATCAGTCCCATTTAGAAAGAGCTGCCTGTATCTTTCAGGATAGATGTCAAGGTTCTGCTGCCAGTCTTTAAAGCTCAAAACAACCTGGCACCTGCTTACATCACAGAGTGTCTGTCTGTTTATGTTCCGGCACGCAATCTAAGATCTGCAGATAGTGGCCTTCTACAGAGACCCTCTGTAAAATACAGAAAACATGGAGAGACTCTTTCAGTTATTCTGCTTCTAAACTGTGGAAGTCAATTCCACCTTTTAGTAGACAGTCAAGCTCAGTGCTCACTTTTAAGAAGCACCTAAAAACGTCTCTCTTTAAATTAGCATTTAACTAAAACTGAATGTCTCGTGGTGTTTATCTTCTAATTTAATCTTCTTCATTTTCTTCTGATTCTAATTAAGTACTAGACAGGATGGAAAAAAACACATATACAAGCTAGCAGCTGATCCACACGGCTCATCTACCTAACGTTAGGTAAGTAAGGTCACCACACCTTATTCATAGAGTCTCCCTTTCCTGTTCACATGCGATTATTTCTTCTTTATATTGAAGCAGCAGCAGTCATAGCTACTTTAACAGTGTTCAGGTTTTCACAGAGCACAGAGACAGTCTGTGTGCTAAATACAACTACATGAGTCTAAAAAGTCACATTTAAGCTTTTAACGAAAACTCTTCTCCATAGAGATTTAAAACAGTGAACGAGAGGGGGCTGATTCAGCCCAGACTTAGAGTAACACTTCTTATTCAGCTGTGTGGACTCTACTTCTAATATGGTCTCTGAAGAAGAAGAAGAAGAATAAACTGTCTGTAAAGGTTCTCAGGAAATATTTTCCTACTTTGGCACAACTCACTCTGACTGAAACTGAAACAAGCACCGTATCCAGGCCATCTAACATCTGTTTGCTGTTAGGGGCTGGGTGGGCGGGGCCATAGTGGATACAAATCTGCGCCACTTTCTCCTCTGCAGCTCTTTCTGCTGAGAAAGTTCAGCTCTTCATCATCTCCGCTCAGAAACTCCTCAGACTCCTTCAGCCATGGTGAGATACAGCCTCTGATTTTTCTCTATACTCAGGTTCTGCTGTCTGTTATTCTGTCCCAGTGGAGTGATGACTGTAAATACTCCAAACATTACTGCTGCTCTCTTCCTCATCATTAAGCTTAGTAAATACTGCAGAGTTACAGAATTAATGGGGAACATAAAAACAATGTGCTGTAGGCAGAAGGGAAAGAAGGGATATTCTGAAGCACGTTTCGAAAGAGATCTGGTTTGTTGTTTTTCATTGTTTTATATTATTTCAAAATATCAAGATGAATGTACCAACAGATCTGATCTAAAATTGCTTGAATAAATCATTTCTACATTAACTTCCATTAGAAGTTCAGAACGTTTTCCTTCTTCCTGTAAAGCTGACTTTTTGGTAGTGTTGTCAACTAATTAAAAAAAATAACTGAATTAATCACAATAATAGGCTGTGATTAATCATGATTAATCCCGAGATTTAAATAGTATTTCATTGTGGTTGTTACTTAGTTGTTGTCACGTTGTCGATGGACTAGTCCTGGCTGCACTCTGCCAGTGCACTTTGACAAATATGGCTAGAAGCTGCCTCAGTGATAGCATCTTTGCCAACATCATCACAGATGTGTTTTGCCCAAAGATGGTACTTCAGACCTGTTGTGCTTCTGTGGAAAGATAGGTCATCAGGGCAGTATGGCCACACAACTTTAACTGTATCTACACGTCAATCTGGAGGCTTTTTAAAATGAAACTTGGCGTTCACACACCGGAGGATGCCTCCTGCATCAACGTGTTATCCATGTTTGCGACTATCAGTAAATCCGTGCAGGAATTACGTGAGGAAGTTGAGGTCAAACTTGGTAATATGATTAATTTGCTTTAAAAAATCAACATGTTAAGGTTTCCAGATTAATTTCCCAGTCCTACTTTTAGGTGATATGTAGTTTTGTTCCAACATTCTGACGTTTTACACATGAGTTACGAATTATGAGTGCAGATCTTCTCAGACTGGTGTAGTGCATGATACAATTAAGCAATTAACATCCTACCATGCTCTGTGCTACAACATGAGTTCATTATTGTGGCACAATTGGAGCTTCAGCCACAAAGTCCACTTAACTGAATCCTGTTCTCCCATGTGGGAGATGAGTAACTTAACCATTAGGCTAAACAACCAATTACAAATCACACACGTGCAGTTCAAACACTCCTCCAATCTGAACTACAAGCCCATAAATCTGCTTCAAACATGAGGATTGTTCTCACACAGTGTTGTGCTTTAAGTATTGTCACCATGAAATCCGACAGCTTTATCGAACATTGCATTTTATGTCTATATCATGCATCCCTAGTATGTATGTATGTATGCATATGTCTGTATGTATGTATGTACTCTATATACTTAATAGTGGGTGATCTTGTGTGTTTTGGTCAGGTGTGTTCTAGAGTGCTGGTGGGACTCTTCTTGCTCTCCCTGCTCTCTTCTGCCGTCGAGGCTCGCAAGAGCCACGGAAGGCATAAATTTAAGTCTCACGAGAGGCCTATAGACAAGGGTCTCCAGAATCTCCCACAGATCATCAGTTTTCTCAATGAAAAGTAAGATGCAGAATTTAATAACCAAATTAAATGTTAAATTATGGATCAAATGTTGATGTCTATGATGTGTATGATGCCTAACAGAATGATTATGCAGCATTGTACTGTTTATCAACTACAACATGAACAGAACATGCCTTTAGAGTAGGCTGAATGGAGAATGATACCAGATAGCTAACGTTACTGCTAGAAAGCTGAATATCTGATTTGAGCCATATAACTGTAGTAAATACCTTTAAATCATCATGACAATGAATCACTCCAGCAACAGAAATTACTCAGATGAGATGATCAGATGATTTTGTTGGACAGCTGAAGTGAGAGTTACACTAATGTTAGCTTGATTGTATTTAGCATTTATAGCCCAGTGGCTAGACTAGCTGAGGATATAATGCTGAGATTGGGATGTAATGGAATACACGCACTGGCAATATATATATATATATATATATATATATATATATATATATATATATATATATATATGAACAATGAGCTTCTTGCTAAAAGCTGGTGTAGACTAATAAATCAATGTGATAATAACTGATCAATCTCAGTGTTACCGAGCTCTGCTAAAGCCTGAGTATACTGATCAATAAATGTGATGATCAGTTATTAATAATGTTGCTAGTTGGTCATGGCCATTATGGTCATTTCACTGAGATTTACATGGTTTTGATTTTTTAATCTAACTATATTTCACTCATTTATTTTCTTGTTTTTCAGTTATTTAGATGGCGATCAGTTCGCTGTGGCCATCAACGTCCCAGCTTCAAGCTGTTCCACTCATGTAAGACCTGATCAGAACTTCCTCCCAGATGATCCTGCACTGAAAGTGAAACGTGCCATGAACAGCACTGCAGGGGTTTACAGAGGGCAGAGGATAATCGGTGCCAAACAAAAAATGATCAATGGGATGAGCAGCTACCACCCTGAGTACCTTCTGCTGATTCAGTCAAGCCCACCAGAAAATTCCCCCCATGATCCACTGCTGAAGGAGCTCCTGGATAGAGACAAACATGGCTGTGTGGTTTTCTACACCCACAAGTCTCCATGTGTGAACACCTGCTCAACACCAGAGGGAGCGTACAGCATCCTCCCTGCCCTCGACATGCTCAGGGAGCACGAGGGTCCAAAAGCTTTTGTGTTTAGTAAGGTTCAGATACATGTGGGCTCCATTCAGAAGACAGAAAACCGCAAAGATCTGCCATTCGCGCAGTGTTTCCCTTGGGGAACAAATATGTATGTTACACTGATATATCGGGAATATTTTCCTCAGCATGAAGCAAATATATGGGCAGTGAATGCTAGAGTGCCGCTGTACCGCTGTGATGGAGCTGGATGTCAATACTGTGTGCACCAAAACAATGAAGTTGATTATAAGTGCATGGTGTAATGCAGTTTCTTCTTTTTAACGTTTCAAGTAAAACGACATGAAATGCGTGAGTTTCTAAAGCATTAGTGATAAAGTTCAGGCTTTTTTACCTCTTGGCTCTTCTGAACATGCATACATATCTTATATATATCCTGCATGATGTTTCTACATTTATCAATAAATACTGGTGCATTCAGTTCGATGTAATTTTGGATATTTTTGCACATCTTTCTCTGATCTTCATGACAACCTTTGTGAATGTGTGTTCATCTACACTCTTACAACAAATGGTTCTTTAAGGGTTCTTTAGTAAAGCGAATGGCTCTATTTAGTACCATGAGTTCTACTTCATTCCATGATTCCATTTCATGATGTGCACGGTTGGTGGTTTTTCAAATTGATGGAGAATGGGTTGTATATGGTTGTATTTTGCACCAAAAAGGGGTCTGCTGGATTATGACGTAAAGCTTGTAACAATAAAAGAATGTTTTTGGTGCTATATAGAACCATAAACAACACATTCTCCATCAATTCAAAAAAACATTTCACCATGCAAAGAATCATTTAAGAATGAAAGGGATTAACAGAATGAAATTACAACCCCAATTCCAAAAAATTGGGATGCTGTTCAAAATGTAAATAAATGTAAATAAAAACAGAATGCAATGATGTTCACCAATCTGCCAAAAACTGCATCTAAAAATTGTGAATCAATTTCAGAAAACTGTTTCTCAATGTAAAATTGCGAACTTTGGATATCCCACGATCTACAAAACATAATATCACCAAAAGATTTAGAGAATCCTTGTATGCAAGGGACAAGGCCAATATTGGATGCTTGCAGTCTTCGGGCCCTCAAGCGGCACTGCATTAAAAACAGGCATGATTCTGTACTGGAAATCACTGCATGGGCTGAGAAACACTTCCAGAAATCATTGCCTGTGAACACAGTTCGCCATGCAATCCACAAATGCAAGTTAAAGCTGTATCATGCAAAGAAGAAGCCAAATGTCAATATGATCCAGAAACACTGCCATCTTCTCTGGGCCAAAGCTCTTTTTTTCCCTCCAGTCTTGTTTATTATAGCAAACAAATACGATACAGAGTGTGATAATACAGGGAGATTCACTCGAAAGAGGCCCCGAATATTCTGTAATAACTCTCTCTAGGACAAAGCAATCTGAACAGAACAATGTGCAATGTGCTCCTCAGTATATGGAGCATCGAACAAACTGGGATGCCCCTGCATCGGAGCGATGAGGTAGGCACTGGACACCCGTCATGACATTCAACCTTTCTAATTGCTCGCCGATACGTTCAGGAACATGAAGTAGGAAATATCAGTAGTATTGGATGCAATCAATACTATGAACATTAATTCCAAAAGTGACACAAAGGTACAAAAAGACAGTCCAATTCACCATTACCTATTCCATTTCAACATTGTAGCACGTCAATAATGGCCAGTTTGGTATAATCCAAGAGCTCGCCCCAAACTTGATAAATCTTCTTAATCTTTTTATTTTTTAAATAAGCTAATCTTTCAGGGGGGAGAATAATATATATTGTTTTATACCACTAAGTTATGCTAGGTTGTGTAGATGAAGTCCAATTGACCATGATGCATTTTCTTGCAACAGGGAGGAGACCCCTGGTCAGTAAATCTTGATAAAGCACAGGTTCCATTAAATGATGCTCCCAGTTTTTCAGGGGTGACAAACAGCCTATGGACAATCTTAAACTGTCTTTCTGTGAACTGGTTGGAGAAAAGACAAAAATGAATACAGGCTAGAATTCCTTCCTACTTATCTGAAATCACCATGTTAAGGTCCATTTCCCATCTGATTCTACCTGGCACACCTGTGGACTCCTCTACTTAAGGCTGTGGCAAAGAGCAGCCCTTTGTTGCACCTTTGTAGAGAGGTGACTGGTATGGTACTTAGCCCAGGTGGCTATTTAAACAAAAGGAAAAGGAAGGGAAAGGAAAGGAAAAAGCCCACTCGGGCTCTAGATGAATGGCAGCAAGTTCACAGGATTTTCTTGTAGGAACTGCTACAGATTTGGAGAAGTTGATCTTATAGCCTGAAGAGGTTCCAAAATTTGTAATTCGTTCAATCAATTGAGGCAAGTAAGTGTTTGTTTATTAATAAATAATATTATATCATGTACAGTGATAAGCAACGGTTAGATCCATTGAATGAGACACCATGAATATCAGGGCCAGATCTAATTGCTTCAGCTCATGGTTCAGTAACACTACTTATAGATTAAGGGTGCCAGAGGCTTGGTGCCTCTACCAATGCTGATCATGTTCGAGCGCTGGCCATTGGTAATAATATGAGCAACAGGGTTCTTATACAGTATCTGGATCTATTTAATGAAGTGTTCCCCAAACTCAAAATTACTTAATTGATTAAACATATATCCCCATTCCAGCCAGTCAAAAGCTTTTTCTGTATCTAACTCAAGCAAAATAATATCTTCTTTAATGATTTGAGCAGGTGAATTGGTAACAGATGAGGGTATCATGATTGGGTATATTCATGTCCACCAAAGGCTCAGTCTTTGCAAGCAAAGATAGGTCAAGGCTCACTACTGTGTGCCAAACTTGTTCTTGTTTATTGTCAAATTTCTCAATGCAAGATTGCAAACAATTTAGATCTTTCACCATGTACCATATATAATATTGTGAAAAAATTCAGGGAATCCAGAGAAATCTCAGTCCATGTGGACTTGAAAATCAATATTGAATGTGCATGAACTTCATTTGAAGAAGGGGGGATTTCTAGTGGCAAGATGGCAGAGTAGGATGTTTTCTTAATTAGCTCTTTCTTAGTTAGAGGTATGCCAACAATTACTTGCAAACAATCTTTATTTTAGTATTTCATATTTGCCAAAATATTGTATTTGAATATCACAGGCTGTATTAAAGTGCTTCAGCATAGTAACGTCAAGCATAAAAGTAAGAGTTTGTTGATTCTGACCAATCAGAAGTAACCATTTGTGAAAAACATCCCCCAACCAGTAGGAGTCCTATCAAGTCTTTGAATTGTCCATTTGGAGTTGGGGTAGGGCAGCTCCTCAAAAAGGCATGGCAGAAACCTTTTTTGGCTCTACACATCTGAGAGACGTTTGTAGTTGTAGTTATAGTTTCAGATTGGTGATGTGTTATTATTTCATCTTGGAGTATTAAAAGTATTAATAGTCCAGTTTAGAGAGGCAGGCTATCAGCTCACCTGAAGACACTACAGTCTGACTTTATTTTCTCCAGGAAACTCACTTGATAAAAACCATGCACATGAAATTTAAATGCAGATGGATAGGTCAGTTATAACATTCCAGTTTGGAATTAAGGCGAGAAGTTTTGCATTCTTCATTTGTTCACTTCATGACAAAACCCCCCTTTAAGAAAGAGAGCAGATGACTCTTACTGGAGAAATGCACTCCTTTAACATTTATCAATATCTACGGTCCTGATAATGTGGATCCTACATTCTTTGAGAAGATATTTGCTCAGATGTCACATACTAATTTGATTAAAGAGGGGATTTTAGCTTGGTGTTGGATCCATGTTTGGATCGATCTTCAATCTTCATGTCTCAGGACAGTTAGTTCAAATGCAAGTAATTTAATTTATTAATTTTTTTGTTTGTTTGTTTTTATGTATTCATGAAAAATATCAACTTGGTTGATGTTTGGAAAAAAGCCATCCCCACCCACAGAGCTTATTCGTTTCATTCAAGCCTATACACTCATATTGATTATTGTTTGGCTGATATCAAAACTTTTGCCTTATATTTTGTTCAAGCTCACATCATACCATAGCAATATCAGACCATGCTCCCCTTACCTTCTTTCTTGGCTAAATGGACCTTTCAGTGTCCAAGATATGGAGATTGGACCCTCAGATCCTTACAGAACCAGCTTTCTATGAGTATTTGAGTAATGAAATTACATTATTCTTAGATACTAACTGAACTCCCACTATCTCCCCTTCTGTCATCTGGGAAGCTATGAAAGGCTCAATTTGTAAAGGGAACAATATTTACCTTATAAAAGTGGACAAATACCTTTTTCTCCACTTAAAGTAGATACATTTCTTTATAGCCACAGTGGTTTCTAATACAATCATAATTTGAACACAAATCAAGTCCTAGCTACGGTTAGGATCTGTATTATTTATTTTAGCTAGGAACCCTTCATTTAAGCTACAGGTGATTTTAGATGAGGCCCTTGCTTTATTTAAGGACCTTAAGTTAAAATATCACCAATCTACGAACATTTTTTAGTTATTGATTTACTTTAAAGAATGATGTGTATCAGTCTGACAGAATTTGACAGTCTCTCCTTGATTATCTGGACACAACCAAGTAACATCTCCAGTTAACATCCCCAGACCTGCTGCCAGACCAGACATTGGACACCATGGAAACCATAAAATGTCAGGTTTATTTACTTCCAATGCTCAAATACAAGGTGTGGTGATGGCTTCAGATAACAAACCAACTAATGATGACAAAAATAAAAAAAAACATCCAAAGGGCTACCTTAAATCCCTGCTTTAAAACCAAGAGAAACAGTAACCAAAGCAATGCGAAGCACAGAGTCTTGTGAAGAGTGCTGGGGCTGGTCTTCCAGGTCACGTCATAGGGGAGAGAGCACTGAACGTCTTTCGGGTGGAAGCTTGGTGACCTTTTGTACAGGAGGGCGCCCCCATGTGGCCAATCATGTACCTGTACATAAACAACAACAAAGGAAAGAACACACAAAATGGCTGCTAACAAAAAGGCGGGTCATCATGGAGGTGGCATAAGCTAACAGCTCCACACACAAAAACAGATTGACCTGTTTAGCTTTTAGTCTTTGTTCTCTAACCTGCATCAGTGAGCCTTCAATGAATCTGTGTGGTTGTGTGTACAGCTTTGGCCTTCTTGCTAAACTAATGCTAGCGTCTAGCAAATGTTGAGCTAAAGTATCTTAGGCAAACAGCACAAGTGTAGAGGTTCACTTAGGCAGATTCACATCTCTATTCTCAAAATTTGAATTAAAATTTGCATCAGAAACATCCAACTGAACGTAACAGAGGAAATCCAAGCAAATAATCCAAAGGGCAAAGACAAAAAGGCAGCAGTTCAAAAATACAAGACAGAGGATCAATACACGGGTAGAACAATACAAGAAATGACACTCAGTCTTACAGAAAGACAATACCTCACAAAGAACTAAGCTAAAAGCCCGGGCTTATATACTATCAAGCAAAAATGATCAGACACAGGTGATAATTGTCAATACTCAGGCGAGGAAGAACAGTGATTGGCTGTTGCTGGTGGTATGACGGTCAGGTTGTCTCCCGGGGTTTCTGGGAGATTGAGTCCTCAGAAGAGAGAGGTGTGCCAGTCACATGATCTCCCAGAGTACTCTGGAAGATCAAGTTCTTAACTAGAGCAGCGTCAGTGAGAGAGCAGAGAGCTTCACAGCAATCCTTGGTAAGATCGCAGCCAGCTAGTCTAAAAAGCAATAATTAACAAAATTGATATTATACAATTTAAATAGTATATATTTGCAAGTTAGTGTCAAAAGAAAATAAGTTGCTCTTTGTTGGACAAAGTGTGTCCAGTTTTCCTTAGAATACATTTACAGTGCTGGATTTTTAATGGCTCAATAAATTCCATATAACATTTTCATGATGCATAGCGCCCTCCACAAATATTGGCACCCCTGGTAAACATGATCAAAAAACACTAGACCTCATTCTCCAACAGTTTGCAGGAAGAAATTTCTTCTTTAAAACCCACTTAGGCAAATGTGGTTGGGATTCATTCTTAGGTGAGCATCATTATCTCACTAATGAAGAACATAGTAACACCTCAGTCATTAGTAATGAGTTACCATGTGTTTCACTTTATAATACTGTTCTAGATCATTATTGATTCCTAATGAAGAACACAGTAACACCTCAGTCATTAGTAATGAGTTACCATGTTTATCACTTTATAATACTGTTCCAGATCATTATTGATTCCTAATGAAGAACACAGTAACACCTCAGTCATTAGTAACGAGTTACCATGTGTTTCACTTTATAATACTGTTCTAGATCATTATTGATTCCTAATGAAGAACACAGTAACACCTTGATCATTAGAAATACTGTTCTAGATCATTATTGATTCCTAATGAAGAACACAGTAACACCTTGGTCATTAGAAATGAGTTACCATGTGTTTCACTTTATAATACTGTTCTAGATAATTATTATCTCCTAATGAAGAACACAGTAACACCTTGGTCACGAGTAATGAGTTACCATATATTTCACTTCATAAAATTGTTCAAGATGATTATCTCACTAATGAAGAACACTGTAGCACCTGTTATTGGTAATGAGTCACCATGTCATTCACTTTACAATACAGTTCTAGATCATTATTATCTCCTAATGTAGAACACAATTGCACTGTAGAACGGTGAAGTGACTACCCTCAGTTTGGTTTTAAGTAAAGAGCAAAGGTCAAACTGAACAAGGAGTCATCAGTCACATTTTTTTTATCCAGACTTGGAGAGATTTAAATACATTTTTCATCATCTACATAAACATATGTTATATTAATGAAGATATAACACTCACAGAGCTTTTGCGCAGATGTACACATCTTGGTTCACTCTCCCATAACCCTCCTTTGATATGACATACAGCACCACCCCTGAGTTCACAAGCATGTAGGCTAGTGCTGTACACTGTCCAGGAGAGAGCTTCTCTTCTGAGCATTTCTCTGATGTTAGATACTCCTGAAGCACTTCTGGAAAAGACTGGTCTTTCATTTCAGACAGGCAGAGCAACAGGTTGATGGATTCATCAGTTGAGATGTGATGTGGTTTTGCATCATCTCCTTTGATTAATTTCTTGATGTACTGGATGGTTTCCTCTGAGTGGCTCTGAGTCTGAGTCAGTAGACCCTGTAGGAGTCTCTGATTGGACTCCAGTGAGATGCCCAGCAGAAAACGGAGGAAATGATCCAGGTGTCCATTCTGACTCTCCACAGCTTTATCCACTGCTCCCTTCAGCAGACAATCCAGTGGAACATTCCCAGACCACTCACTGTGCTGTGGTTTAAAATAATTCAGTTCCTCCATGTTGTTGCTCTCATAGCAATGAAACACATAAACAGCAGCCAGGAACTCCTGGAAGCTCAGATGAACAAAGCAGTAGACCTTCCTCTGGTGAATCACAGAGTCCTCCCTAAAGATTTCAGTGAAAATCCCCAGATTCACTGAGGTATCTTTGACATCAATGCCGCTCTCTCTCAGGTCCTCTTCATAGAAAATCACGTTGCCCTTCATCAGCTGTTTGAAAGCCAGTTCAGCCAGTTTTAGAAGCATGGCTCTGTTTGACTCCAGCAGGTTCTTTGTGTCTGTTTGACTTTTCTCCCTCTTCTTATCTCCCTCATACTTCTCATTCTTCATGTTTGTCTGAGTGATCAGGAAGTGTGAGTACATTTCTGTCAGAGTTGTAGAGCTTTCTATGTTACTTTCTGTCATGACTCTCTGAAGAACAGTGGCTGAGATCCAGCAGAAGACTGGAATGTGGCACATGATGTGGAGGCTCCTCACTGTCTTAATGTGGGAGATGATTCTCTTGGCTTGGTCTTCATCACTGATCCTCTTCCTGAAGTACTCCTCCTTCTGTGGGTCACTGAATCCCTGAATTTCTGTCACACGGTTGATGTACTGAGGAAGGATCTGATTGGCTGCTGCTGGTCGGGAGGTGATCCAGATCAGAGCAGAGGGAAGCAGCTCTCCTTTGATGAGGTTCGTCATCAACACTCCCACTGATGATGTCATGGTGATGTCAGATACTTTCTCACACTGTTCAAAGTTCAGTGGAATTCTGCTTTCATCCAGACCATCAAATATAAACACAGCTTTGAGCTGATCATAAATCTTTGGGTCCAGATCTTTGAGCTCAGGATGGAAGTCACACAGAAGTCCATGAAGACTGTATTGATGATCTTTGATCAAGTTCAGCTCCCGGAACGGAAGCACAAACATGAACTCTACATCCTGATTGGCTTTTCCTTCAGCCCAGTCCAGAATGAACTTCTGCACAGAGACAGTTTTTCCAATGCCAGCAATGCCCTTAGTCAGAACAGCTCTGAGTTCTGGCTCTTCTGGTCCTTTATTCTCTTTTCTTTCTTCTTTACTTTTTCTCGTTTTTCCTCCTTTAAGATCTTGTAGAGGTTTAAAGATGTCTAAGCAGTTGATTGGAGTATCCTCTAAGTGTTTCCTGGGTGTTTTCTCCATCTGTAAAATCTCATGTTCTTCATTCACTCCTTCACTCTCTCCCTCTATGATGTAGAGCTCTGTGTAAATCCTGTTCAGGAGGGTTTTATTCTCCTCTGTTCTGATTCCCTCAAATAAGCTCTCATACTTGTTCTTCATGCTGGTTTTGTGTCTCTTTATGACTCTGTGCAGGAGATCATCTGCTGGTTGGGGAGAATCCTGCTCTGCCAGTTCTACTGAGTGCTGTCTGATGGGGTGAAACACAGTAACACAAACATAACACAAAAAATTAAACTGCATATCACACCAGTATCATGTATCCTTTTCATGTTATTTCAATTGTATTGTGTTTTTATATTGAGTGTTTTGGTTATTAGGTACATCTCCCGTGGAACTACATTACAGGTCATTTCCTCAGATACAACTACTGTATAGGGGCGTCTTGAAGGTTTATAGTTACACACTAGCCCATTTGTGGCTTCACAATCTATCAGTTCCTCTTCTTCCCCATTCATCAATAGAAGGGACCACTGATGTGAGTAAAAACCCCAGTAACACCGCTGTGTCTGAAAGACTCATACCAGCATCAAACACATGTCAGTGTCACTGTTGTGCTGCGAATGGATCACAAAATTCACAATAACTGGTCAGTGCTGGTCCTGTGGTGGTTTCTTTCTATTAATGGATGCGGGGGGGCTGATAAATTGTGTAGCAACAAATGAGCTACAGTCTGTAACTATAAACCCTCAAATTGCAGCTATATAGTAGGTGTTTCTGCTTACATGGACAAATGGTCAATCATGTAGATAGAAGGTAGCAGGATGTGATTAACTGGTTTAGTTCCCATGATGAACATCATGTCCGGCATTATTAAACTCAGCATCTGAAACAGTGAAGGTCAGCCTAATACTAAAGATCGATGACTTTATCCCATAACACAGACAGTAACTCACTGCGGGTCAGATGGTACAGCACCACCACTGAACGCAGGAGGGTTCACGATGGACTGGTCACTCTTCATAGACACACAGCTGGGCTCTCCTCTTCCACCTCTGAACGCAGGAGGGTTCACGATGGACTGGTCACTCTTCATAGACTCACAGCAGGGTTCTCCTCTTCCACTGCTGAACGCAGGAGGGTTCACGATGGACTGGTCACTCTTCATAGACACACAGCTGGGCTCTCCTCTGCCACCTCTGAACGCAGGAGGGTTCACGATGGACTGGTCACTCTTTATAGACACACAGCAGGGTTCTCCTCTTCCACCGCTGAACGCAGGAGGGTTCACGATGGACTGGTCACTCTTCCTAGACATACAGCAGGGTTCTCTTCTTCCACCGCTGAACGCAGGAGGGTTCACGATGGACTGGTCACTCTTCATAGACATACAGCAGGGTTCTCTTCTTCCACCGCTGAATGCAGGAGGGTTCACGATGGACTGATCACTCTTCATAGACACACTGGTCACTCCTCTTCCACTGTAAGTAAATCCATAATGAGAGTAAAGTGTTGAGCAATTACTCTCTTTCAGCCTGAATATTTAACAATATTTCCTCTTCTAAGTGCTGACGGAAAGTTACTCACTTTGGGTCAGAGGTTCCTTCTCCACTGCTGGAGTGATGAAGCTCCATCATAGACTTTTTACTCTTCACCCATACACACACAGCTGGACTGCTCCCTGTGAACATCAATACAAAATTTACACATGCTGAATCACTCAGTACAGAAAAAATGAATTTGCTGTTGGTGCAACATAAAATCAAACCTTAATGAACAAAGAGAGTGAGGCGCACACACAGGCTTATCTATGACCACAGATTGGACTTGCATGTCAGGACTGATAGAGCGTTATATAATCAAAGTATATAATATATTACTGAGAAAAAGTTTTAACAACGTATTGCTTAATAAGATATAATTCAGGAAAACCTAAATGCATGTTCTTTAACAATAATAACAAGCAGCAATTTTTCATTGTAATAGCATACATTTATCATAAAATGAAAAGCATTTATGTGGTGATTCTCAGTTTAGTTTAGGGAGCCAGAACAGTGGAAGAACTTTATGGGTGAGTGCCTCTGCTACTTGGCCTACTTTGAGGAGTCATTCCAGTGTGAGGACTCTAAAGTGGCCTTCATAATGCTGCTGCAGGGGCCTAAGGTGGCTCATATGTGGGCCTCACATAGTGATATGGCTCAATCATTATATAAGTTCTAGAGCCTCTTTCAGTCTGCCTTTGTCCCACTGCCAGAGGAGGAGGAGGTTCTCCAAAGACTTTTTTGAGGCGGAGGGGGGCTAAAAGGATATTTCTCCAGTTCCTGTGTCACCGACTGGGGCAATGGGAACACGGTGGATGCAGAAACCCCTAAGGCAGGGGAGGGTTTCAAGGCTCTGCCCAGTGCTATGGAGAGCACTGGTCCATCGACAACCTCATCATGCCACCAAGAGCTTCCTCATCTGTGGTGGCAACCACAACCGCAGCCTCTCCAGTTCTTGCTTCCTGGTCCACTCCTGTTCTTGTTTGCGCTCCTGTTCTTGTTCTCTAAGCTCCTCCTGTGCTGTTTTTTTGTGTAGCTCCTGTGCCACCCCCCCGGGGGGTGGTGGTTATGGCTACTAATTATTACATTTTATACTGTAAGCTCTGTTATATAATAATGTGTTTGACATGTTCATAACAATTATATGATACAGCACAGTATAACATGGGGGTACATTACAGATACTAGTATTATATTACATGCTGTATTTTAATGTTGGACCAGGTTCATAGCTCTTGGGAAAGCTCTCATTGTTCTATAGCACATTCTCAGAAAAAGGTACCAAACTGTCTCTGAGGTGGAAACCTCAAGGATACGTCTTCAATACCTTTAGTCAGGGAACATAATTTTAGTATAATCATATGCATAATCAACTTTAAAAATTGTGCTGACTCCAAACATTGTCTCCATGCATTCTATTTTATTTTTCTGAAACATTAGGTTATGAAATGGTACAAAAACTTATGATATGGGAAAAACTTCTTTAAGATATAAAAATAAACCTCAAAACCACTGTTGTACCTCCGAGGGTGCATTTACAATGTGGGTACCTTGATGATCGAAAAATATGCCTGTACAGTACCTTAATTTCTGATAGTGCAGGGTTCAGTCCTGTATGATATTGACACAGAGCGTACATTGCTATGTGGACAGTTTATTTTTAATGATTTGTAATTTATTGCAAATATTGCATTGATTTACTTTAATCACACAGCATATAAACAAAACCTATGCCAAGCTGGCCACTCCTCTTTGGCTTCTAGCAGCTCGTCCCTCTCTCTCTCTCTCTCTCTTGTTTCTCCGCCGACCCTGTCCCCCCGCTCAGCAGCTCAGCCACCTGAATTGAACATGAGGTATAGTGAAACGGTGCCTTATACACCCATCACCCAACTCCTTCCCCCCCAGGGAAAGATCCGCATCAAGGAGCAGGGCGGCCTGGGTAGGGGCTCCATCAGTGGCCAGTCAGGAGAGGCTGTGCCGGAAGCCTACACAGCGGGGACCTGGGCAACATGTTCACTAGCAGGCAGGGGAGGGAAAAGGAGGCGAACTCCAAGCCATTTTGGAGCAGGGATGGGAGGAGAGAGGAGCGCTCCAGGCTTCCTCAGAGCAGGGATGGGAGAGACAAGGAGAGCTCCAGTCGTCCTTTGAGCAGGGATGGAAGGGGAAAGAGGGGGAACCCCGAGCCTTCTATGAGCACAGTGGATGCTTGGGTGGGGTTGAGAGGGGGGCTCCTGCCCCCATGCACACCGAGGGTTGCCGCTCCGCCAGCAAGCTCCTGACCAACTGACAGGTCAGCACCCTCTGTCTCAAGCTGCTTCCATCGCTTTTCAGTGTCCTGGAAAACAGCCTGCAGCTCCCACCAGCTGGCCAGGTGCAGGTGGACGAGGATCTTTATGGCCTCCTCTTCTGCCATGGAGACTCCCTCAATGTGTTGGCATCCTCCTCCTGGGTTTCGGCATCAATGTAGCACGCCTTGCAGTTCCCTGGGCTCAGGAAGGACGCTGGAGGCAGGGTTCATGGTCGCAGCAGCCATTTTACTTTAATCACACACCAAATAAACAAAACCAAAAACCCTCTCTCTCTGTGATCTCTCGCTGAGCACCTGAGCCGAGAGGGAACGAGAGCTCGTTGCTCCACCTCCCTGTCACCATACCTGCTCAGCAGCCTGGCCGCCTGGATCGAACATGAGGTTTAGTGAAGCAGCCTCACGGCCATCATCGGGGTGCAGGGGACAGGCACATGCCATAATAATATTCATAATCTCTGAAATATTGGTGAACTATTTCTCAGGTTTTCTGGATAAACTGTATAATTTCTAATTGCAGTCTTTTAAAAATGAGAGGAGCTGCTCAAGACTTTCATCTTTGTCCAAAAGGAATTAGCAGATATTTTCATTTTGATAACAAAACTGACAAACAAGGAATACTGAAAACAGCTAAGTAAAATAACTTATTAAGTTCAGACAGAAATAGATAGGCATAATAATAAAAATGATAGTGCTGAGAACTCCATATAAAACCACATAAACAGAACAATATTGTTCCCACGTTGTTGACATCAAAAGGCCACTGTGTATTTATCCTGACATACTAAACTAAGAATCACTTTTAGATGCGATGAAAGCGACCTTGAGGTCTCCTATTACGCATTCAACAAACTGGTAAAGCTGCTTTTACTGTCTACACACAGAACCTGGAATTAACCTCCTCCTAAAGTCCACCATCAACGCTCAGTACAAACATTTAAAAACAACTTTGACAACAAAACTAAGAATCAACAGTAACAGCAATAACAAACATTCCTTTCAACAGAGGGGGAGGTGAGGGCAGGTGCAGCTTTTCATGCCACACCCCTTTGAGCTCTTCCTGAAACCCAGAGAGACGGTACGAAAGGTGCTTTACAAATAAAGGTTATTATTACTTCACTGCATGGTTCTGCATGGAAGATCTTAGCTATGGCCACAGACTGGACTGATAATAGGACTGGAGTGGACATTGTCCAGTCATAAAGTAAAACATTACTGAGATTTTTTCCATCCAGTTTCCTTCAGACTTACAAAGCACTTAATATTTGTATGATGACAAATTAGCTGCTACAACACCATCAAAAGCACCTTATTTAATGCCTTCATATACTTAAGTATGTTCAAATGATGTTTCAACACCTAAGTGTATTTTTGGCCCATAGTTCACTTTAAATCGAGTAAGACACAGTCCTCATACTTTCACTTCAGTTCAGTTCATCTGTACTTTTTCTACCTCTGCTACTCATTCTGTCTTTTTTACCAAAATACAGACAACAGTGGATTTCAAAAACAAAAACACTGGCCTGCTTTAGGTCTGAAAAGCTGCTTCACATTGAAGGTTAGAATGATGAACAGAAAATCAGAACTCTACAGTGAAACCTGTGAGAAACTGAAAGCTCTGTTACCTTTTCTGAGGTTTGTCTAGACGTCTTCAGTGAGAAAGTCCAAGTCCGTCTTCATCCGTCTTCATTTCCAGTAGAAGCTACAAGAGAATTAAACAGCAACACTCACTCTTAATCTCCATTTCAGTGCTGTATCTGTTCTCACTGGACCATTTCAGTACATTACACACCTGAATGCTGCTCTGTCTCCATCGAGACTCGACCGGAATACGACTGAACTTTGTTTACTTTAGAAACAGAGAAACCGGTTGGACCTCATTCCAGTTATATCACCAGTAGATCTGAAGTGCTGTGTGGGTTTCTGTTTCCATGTCTGTCCATATTTGACTGTAATGTTGTTGTTACTACCTAATTGTTATGATTTATTATTTATTTTATAGGCAGTGAAATGTCCACATTTTCCGCACCAGCTCTGATTAAAAGCTTGGGTAACACTTCAGTATTGTTTTGCTCTTGTTTAGCATTATGAAGGCATTCGCAACTACATAACTAACCCATTATTACTACTGTATTTCTAGTTAACCTGTACTGAAAGTGTTAACGTCTGGTGTCGGCCTCATATAAACATGCAAACAGCTTCTGATCAATACCTAACCTGTTTCTCAGACTGTCTTAGTAAAGCAGTAGTAGCTATCTCAAGGTCAGTAAATGATGTGCAAAAGATTATGATGTATAATACACAACTAAAAATGCTTTGGATTAAAAAAGTTTAATTCATCCAGTTTACTGCTTAATAAATTAGAGATGAGGAGTTAATTAGCAGCAGCTGCTGCATCAAACTTAGCTAACCTAACTGTCTATAGATGAAAATGGAAAACATTAAATTTGTTTGCATGATACTAAAATAACCGTTTTACATTAAGCATTCAGCAAATCTGATTGAAAAACAGGATAGAAATATAATAAAGCACAGCTTATTAAAAATGCTGTTCAGATCGATCTGAGAACTGTGTGGGTGTGGCCTACTATTCTAATGAGTGAGTGTGATTGACAGCCCTCAGTCCAACACACCCAGTGTGCTACAGCACTAAAGCAGAACTAAACCGAACAGCACGAGTGAAGTGGAGAACTGAGTGAAATTGGTTCTAGATATACCTATATCTATTCACTAAAGAACCCTGTTTTAAGAGTGTATGTTTGCACATAATCGTGGGTTATTGTATGTGTTGAACTGAGATCAGCAAATCAGAAGAGCATTAAATTTAGCTGTTCTTGCATTCAACAGTGTAGTCACAATAACAGCTGACAGAACACCATGATATTGGCTGAGTAATAATGCCAGAGTCCTGCCTTTACCTGGCGTAGATGTCTAGAATGGATGGTTTGACTGTGATTTTCTGTTTTTTCACAGCGTTGATCTGTTTTCTTTACCACACTAGCTAGATAGCTAGAAGTCAATGTCTGTGAATGGAGTTCATTTTTACAGAAGTCCAGAGAGGCCATGAGGTAGTTACAGTGTTCTGAACTGTTAGCTTGAGATAATGAGTTAAATATCTTATCTCAAGATAACAATCCAGAAAATTATAGCAAAAGCTCATGGCTTCTCTGGACTTGCATGCATTTTAGACCTCATTTTGACAAAGTTTTAATAAAAGTAAGTGTTTACCCCTCAGAACATGCTGTTTTCTTACCACAGACAAAACTGATACTACATAAGCTGTTTTCTTTCTCAAAGCTACAGCATTTTCTAGCAATAAATCTATACATTTGTGAAAAGCTTTTCAAATAAATAATAAAAATCCAAAGTTTTCTTGTGCATTTTTCTTATATGTACTGCTTAAAGGCCTTTAGAGTTTTTTTTTCTCTAGCACATTTTTTCTTGTATTAGTAATTTAAGCTAATGACTCCCATTACCCAAACACGTCTGGTAACCTAACCTACTAAATTATATGTTTTAAGACTATTTTCACCAGAAATGACCGAATAACAGAGTTGAAGTGAGTAACAGGGTTGAACACAGAGATCCTGTTCTCCATTAAGCTTTTTTTAAAGCAGTAAAAAACAAATAGAGCAGAAGAGAAAGCTGAAAAAATGTTTTAATCAAAATGTTTTCATTAAAATTTTTGTTTTGAGACATTTTTAGCTTTATCTACACAGCCAAATTAGTTTTGGTTTGTAAACTGAGAAACTAGAATGAGAATACTGACCTGTCTGATGGTCATTCTGCAGAAGACAGTAAGATGATGCAATTTCCTGTATTTACCATAATAAATTGAATGCTCTAGTTTTTGTTTTTTTTAGGGAGGAAAAGTTTGAGTGACAGAATTAGGACACAGTAGGACACAGGCTAAAATGACTAACAATAATAATAAACTAATCAACAGGGAAAATTATTCTTTTAACATTAAGCTGCTTTGAAATAAACCAAATAACACTGTAATTATGTGTCTACTGGAGGATTTTAATAAATGTATATCATAGAGAAGAGAAGTTCAATGTCAGTGAGGTGGGCAGCCCATATAGCCATATTAAAGATAACCATATTAAAGGGGGACACAGACATTTAGTGTGTTTTTGTGATAAAATGCTAATTTTAATAATTTTGTTTCAAGTTAAAGTACAGATCCCTTCACTTTTTACACAAATAAAGTCACTTTAGTGCTTTTAAAAAGATACGGGGACATAAATTGAGCATTATTCATGGAAAGTGCCAGAAACAGACTGGCATGCGTCCCTCCATAGGGTTGGTGCTGACCGATGGCAACATGCAGTCATGTAAACGTTGCACTGGTGATGATCAAAAGGCAGTTTTACAGTCACTTTTATTCATGAAGGTGGAAAAAGGCACCTGGATGCCAGACGGTACTGTGACAAATGTGTTGTTAGGCCTTCAGCACAGTCTTTCAGCAAAATCACATCACTTTAAATCTGCCCCTTAAAAAACAGTAACATGTTCTCAATCTGAGGAACGACACCTTAACCAGTCTGAGAAAAGGCTGAAAGAAAAGCATTCGCTATCAGCAATGTGGACATTTATTATTGTTTGTGTGTGGTTCCTTCTACGTTCTACTCAGGTTCTCCCAGATGGTCCACATTTTTGGCTCTGAACATCTTGGTTCAGGTATGTTGACTGTCCACTTTAGAATGAACACAAGTCCATCATCAGCCCACAATTAAACATTATATGTTCTCTATGCGCCCCCTTTTGGACACATGGTGGTACTACAACATGGCAAGAAGTCTTCAAATGTTCAAGTGAATGTAATGAGGCTTAAAAAGCAATGAAATCTCACAAATTAGTTTAGGGAATTTGAGGAAAGTTTGTTATAATTATACAAACAGTACTAGTTGGGTTTGAGATCTTAAGTCTGTATTTTTTCTTCTGAGTTGCAAAACTCCACTTGCTTTACTCAAGTTTACTCAACAGGTAAACTCTTTAGTGCTGATTACCAGACAGAACAAACATTGAGAGTTTCATGTCTTATCCTGATGAACCTGGGTAATAATTCAGTATATAGGTCATTATAATGCACTTATAATATTCTTATTAATGCAGCTGCTGTTTAACTGGCTGTTCATTATACATTTATTAAACCATAACTAGACTGAATTTAACATTTTCCAGAGCACTTTTATTTGTATAATATCCATCAAAATCTGACAATTCTGAACATCTACCTGGCTGCTCATTACTAATCATTACTAATCATTACTCATTATTACCTAAACTAAAAACCTACTTTATTATTTTGATATGCACATAAATAAAAAATGATCTATGAACTGAACTTAACTATCTATGCCACATCAGTGTTGCACAAACTGATCTGTGTGGCCCTCTAGTGGCTCATTTGAAAGTTTTAAAAGCAGTCTTAAGACAATGTGTGAAACGCCCCCTTGTGGATGATTTGCAACATTTCATCCTCTGCCTTGTGGTAGACAAAGTAAGCAACTTCAGTACTTAAACATTTCCAAAAAAAATCTTTTTAAATGTTTCAAAGTGGCTCTTTGCTACCCCGCCCAAAAAAAAAGAAAGAACTGTCTATGTACACAAGAAGTATTAAAAAATAATATCAACAGTTTAAGCTGCACTATGCATGTTTTGGAGATCTGGAGACCTCTCTGGTGGAAATGTGTAACTGCACTCCCAATGGAAGAACATTTCTTAGCGTGGGTTATGCTTCGGCCCCCTTCCCTGAGTGGATGAAACTGATGATTGAAAGAGAACTGGTGAAGGAGCGTCTCTGAGGATGTGAGTGAATTATCTACTATTGTCATCAAATCTTCATCAGTATTATGTTGATTTTGAGATCATTTCAGACCTAAACATCGAGCCGGACCTCCTTTTTGAGTCTGTGTGTGACGGTAATCCGTAAAGATGTACGATGTGGTGTGAAAAACTCGACGCCTCTGACTTTAAAATGCTAATTTCAGGCCTTACAGGCGGCTCTCAGCAGCTCACACTCATATGTGAGCCTGTTTTTATTCTTCTCACTCAATAATGATGCTTCTTTACACATTAACAACAGAAATCTTACATAGTGCAGCTTTAATAAATGTTTATGTTTAAAATCTCCAGCTTTGCGTCCCTTAATAATGAATTCTCTTTCAAAGTCACTTTGATCATCTTGATCAAAATCGAGGTCAGCTCAGTTTTTCTTCTACCTGGCTGGATGTTAAGTGCTTAATTGTATCATGCAGTGCTGGGATGGTTTACTGACCAGACCAGTGGAGCCAGTGCCCAGGGGTCTCTGACTGGGGGCTCCAGGGTGGGGGCATCAGAGCTCAAAGACTGGAGACAGTCCACTGCAGAGGCAAACATTACGTGGATTAATAGCTTGAATGTGTACAAATATGTACACTCTTCAAAAAGATGGTTCTTCAAGGGTTCTCTATAAAACCAGGAACACTCAAAGAACCATTTCCATGCTTGTAGTGTTGTTTGCATGGTTCTTCAGATTGATGGAGAATGTGTTTGTGTTTATGGTTCTACATTTTTGAAAATGATTCTATATAGAACCAAAAACGTTCTTCTATTGTTATGATGACAAGCTTGTAAAAATAGGAGAACCATGCAAATGGTTCTTTGTGTGTTCATGGTTCTACTTAGAACTACTGTCTTTACTAAAGAACCCTTGAAGAACCATCTTTTTAAGATTGTACAAAATAAGTAAATGAATGAAACAAAGGAAGAAATGGGATCTGTTCTCAGACGGAGGGACGTTCTCTACTTGAACATGACCAGTGAAATCAAAATGGAACATTATTGGTGTTCGACA